AGCATAAAGATTCATTACTGTATGGTTTAAAAATTATTTATCTTCATGGAGACAAGCAGGCTATTCCACCTGGGCTTGTTACAGGTGAGATCTGTACAAAGGCGACTCTGCTCTCAGAAAGAATGCCTGTTTTTCAAAGTATCTCTTTGTATCTGTAGTATCTGAAATTGAATAAATAAAGATTATGTTTATTTTGGGAACATTCCAAATCTCCATGGAGACATGCAGGCAATGAACAAAAAAGTTGCATAGTACACCTTTAACAGTTAAATTTACAGCAGACAAAATTAGCTCAGACATTTTTACTTGTCTATTTGTGAGTCTTCTTATTTTTATTTTTAGGCTTGCATGTATTCTTATTTCTGAAAACGAGATGTTTTGGATTTGTCTTTTCTTTTGAGGACTGATCTACCAATTTGCCTCTCTCTATTCTCCTCGTAACCATGACGACGGGATCACCATGCAAATACCTGGGCGCAATGAGAGGAGATGCAAATGTTGTTTCCGCTCGTGGGTTCACATGCACACACTCGCACGCACACACACACACAGGTCTCAGATAGGATGTGGTGAAAAGCACGCGCCTACCCCAGAGCCCCCATTAGCAGCTACACCCATGTCTCATATAAACTAACTTTACCTCTAAAACTTCAGTTAAAACCAAAGTCTGTGTCAAGACATAATAGACTGGAGGGTAGGGGACAACATTACTCTAAAGAGACTCATTAGCTTACAGAATTTGAGGTAACACTGTATAATAACTACACCTTATTTAGCCTTAATAAAGCATGAACAAAGACTTAATTAATAATAATTCACGCTTAGTAACTACTTAATTACTACCTGAATTAGCACTTAACTTGCACTTAATTCGCCTGTGCTGTAAATAGTAACTCAATACTTCTTAATTAATCATGAACTAAACATTTGCATGTTTACAAATGCATTTTTAAGTACACATTTGAGCATTTATTAATGATTAGTAAGATATGAGAGAATGATTTACTAATAATGCAATACAATGATAATTCAGGCAGCTGTTATCTGTTAAGTCTTTCAGAGAGCTTTTCTAAAGTGAAGGCTAATTATGCTTTATTAAGCATTTGTTAAGCTTGGTCAAATTCCAGAGAAACAATAATGCATTACTAGTAAATCACTCTCTCATGGCTTACTAATCATTAATAAATGCTCAAATTTGGACTTAAGTATACATTTACAAATGCACACACAAATGGTTAGTTCATGAGTAATTAAGTAAGAAATATTTATGAGTAACTATTTACAGCACAGGCGAATTAAGTGCAAGTTAAGTGCTAATTCAGGTAGTAATTAAGTAGTTACTAAGCGTGAATCATTATTAATTAAGTCTTTGTTCATGCTTTATTAAGGCTAAATAAGGTTTAGTTATTATAAAGTGTTACCAATTTGAAAAAAAAAAAAAACAGTATATAAAGAAAATACCACCAGTGTTGAAACTTGATCAATGTATTAATTTTATAATACACAATTTTGCGGCTGTTTAATATATTGATTTGAATTAGTTTGAGCAGAAAACAGGATATATACATTTTATTAAAAGAAAAGAAAATGCCAGTTTGTGTATTGTGGATATAAAACACAGGATAGGGAAATTACATTGACAGTAATTTACCAGCAAAATATATAATCTCTTAACTCACTTCTACACACTAGGCTTGTTTGAGTGTTATGACATCACGTGAATCTGACCTATAGACTACACCAACCAACTATTATGAATGAATGAGTATATAGAAGGCCCATTGTGGTGATTCAAGTGGGCAGATGGTAATATATGCAAGATTCCTTTCCTCCACATATGGCCTTCCAGAACAGAGTGGGAGTGCATTTATTTAATGTAAGCCTGTTTCCTGCTCATTTGTCTTATTTGTTTACACAGGAAGCTGTCTTTTAGGTATTGGTTTGGCTGTCAATAACTAGAGGGAACTATAGCATTGTTTTTAAAAGAATGTCTCCGTGAAACAAGCAAAAGAGCATGGGAAATATTTTTTGTGTAAATATATAGACAATGCTTTTTTCTATGTAGACTTACTCCGCCTTAGGTTAATAGTTATTGTGCAGTCAGTAGCCACTCCCAATAACAATGTATGAATGAATGAATGAATGGATATATGCCACTGATTGATGGATTTGATTAATTCATACAGGTTTGAGTAATCCTGTATTGTCATTTTGAGGCTTTAGAGCTCAGAAAATATCCATTATCACCTACTCCTTGTAACTGTCACTTCCTTATACTATCTTACGTTTACCAAAATAAAAAAAAAATTAAAAATCATACACATCCCATAGCAATTTTTCAATGTAAATATGAAAATCAATTACTTGCTATGAAATGGCACTATAAAGACATGGGGTGTAGCAAGTCTGATTTTTTTTAACAGGAAATCAAATGGTCCATGCATATAACAAAAATAGTAGGGATGTAACAATAACCGAAATATCATGATTGTCAAAGTTCTCACAATAATATCGTGGACCATCACAATACATCAAATCACAAGTCTCTTTGCTTAAATTAAGAGTTTTGGTGCAGCAATAGACAGAGAGAACTATATAGACCATGATCCTTTACTACATTTCAGTGTAGACTAAAAGAAGAAATAACAGTTTTAAGCACTTTTAAGTCTTAGTTCTTTGGATTAAGTCTTGTCAAGGCATTTTAAGAGGAAAAAGTAACATATTAACACTTTTGTTAGTCTCCACAAAATATCACAATAAATATCATACTGTGAGATGTATATTGTGAAAATATCGTACTGAGAAATTTGGATATTGTTACATCCCTAATTGTGAGCCTCCCCACCATATCGTGAGCTTTCCCAAAATATCGCAATAAATATCATACTGTGAGGTTCGCACCATGACGATATCGTATTGTTTGACTTGGATATTATTACACCGCTAAAAAATAGTTAAAGGCACAATATGTAACTGGAGGTGGTACGTCACCTGAATGAGTGCATGAAAGTAACAAGTTAAAACTATACTACATAGAGATGAAGTTTTGTGCAATATTGTGGAACAACATTTCCATGGAAATAAGAAGGTTTGTGGAGATACAACTCCGCTCACATAAGGACACGTTTTTCAAAATTTGTGCAATAAACAAACAAAAAAAAGGTTTATTTTTATCTGTTTTTGTGCTAAAAACTTGCACACTGTAGCTTTAAATAAATTAAATTTAACAAACTAAAACACTCTCCTGCATACTAAGCCGTTTACTGGTATCCACTCTACCACATTACACACAACAGTTGCTATCTAATTAATTAAGTGAAACAAAGCCTTTATTGACGGTTGCTTCCTGCAGGTGGAGGGGCACTGGCTCTTCCTGTAACATTAGTATCATGAGCCTGAGGACACACTTAATTGCTAAGGGCTAACAGGCACTCACCCACTCCCACGGACTCCCACATGCATTCACTACGGCTTTACAGTCACCAATTCACCTACTTCAAGACTGTAGGCAGGGAGGAAGCGACCAGCGGGGCCCCATGCTAGCGTGACAGACAATGATATGCTAAATTAGTGTCAAAAGTGAATGCAATAGTGGATGGTGTTTTGAGTTCAGCCCTGCACTGTTTTCAAAATAGAGATTTAAACTCTGCTTGGCTCTCAAAATGTGCGTCAGTGTTGTTTAAGGCGCGCTATGTAAGCTTTCTGGAGGAGGGTCAGTCACCTGCTTGTTTCCATGGAGATGTTCTGTTATGGTTGATTGGAATGTTTTACAGTAGGGATGCTCTTAAACTTTTTCATCTTGCATTCATTCAGTTACAGGTGTCTTGTTGCTTGAAAGACATGTATTCTTACTAGAGGTGTAACAATAACCGAAATATCGTGATATCGTATCGTCAAAGTTCTCACAATAATATTGTGGACCATCACAATATATCGAATTACAAGTCTCTTTGCTTAAATGAAGAGTTATGGTGCAGCAATAGCTAAAAAAGACAGAGGGAACTACATAGACCATGATCCTTTGCTCCATTTCAGCATAAACTACAAGAAGAAATAACAGTTCTAAGCACTTTTAAGTCTTAGTTCTTTGGATTAAGTCTTGTCAAGGCATTTTAAGAGGAAAAAGTAGCATATTAACAGTTTTGTTAGCCCCCACAAAGTATCACAGTAAATATCGTACCGTGAGATGTATATCATAAAAATATCGTACCGAGAGATTTGGATATTTTTACATCCCTAATCGTGAGCCTCCACACCATATTGTGACCTTTCCCACAATATCTCAATAAATATCGTACCGTGAGGTTCGTACCGTGAAAATATCGTATCGTGAGACTTGGATATCGTTACACCTCTAATTTTTACTGTGAGTGGGCTCGCCTCTCCGCAGATCTGACCTGTAACTTGGCTTTGTGTTTTTGCCTGCTTGTCTCCATGATGAATTAAAATCTGCTTCATGTGTATAGAATTTTTAAAGGGCTACACAGTCAGACAAAAAAGGATACAAGGATAATCTAAAGCCATACTGTGGAATTTACCATGCAAAGCGATTACATTTATGGAGACATGTGGTCCATCAAAAGGTTAGCCATAATGCACCTTTAAACTATAAATTCTATTCTGCTAAAGTTCAGTGGGTTTGGTTATAACCTTCATCAATGATATTACTGAAATATCGACTTGAAAGATGAGTCACATTTATAACTGTGACTTGGCTGGCAAAACTCATTATATTCTTATCACCACTGATTTATATTTTATTCAGTTGTTGTGAATGAAGCCCGGAGAAGTGGATGACCGAATACGCACCTCTGGACTCCCATCTCGTCTTCCACGCCTCTGTTTCATTGATGTTTGCAGGTTTGTTTTATGAATGAACGGCAGAGGGGACGAAAGGGGGACGGGGAACTGTGCGCTCTCTGATTGGCTCTGAGCGCTTTGACGTCACCTCCGCTGTGACGCCATGCACCATTCATAAAAAAAAAAAAAGAAGAGAAAACAATCAAGAGGAGACACAGAGCGGAGAGACAGAGGGCGAGGATAGACGAACAGAAGAGAGAGAGAGAGGGAGAGATGCGAGGATAGACTGGAGACGTACCGACGCTGCTAAACACTTTACGGTTTTCCGACGACGCGCCAATGGAGGAGATGTGCGAGATGGAGTGCCCACTGCTCAAAAGGCTCCTAAAGGACGACGGAGGGGCGGCCAAAGTACTAATTTTGGACTGCCGCTCGTTCCTCGCATACAGCGCGGGCCATATCCGAGGTGCCGTGAACGCGCGATGCAACACCATCGTGCGTCGTCGGGCCAAGGGTTCGGTGCTGAGTCTGGACCAGGTGCTGGCCGGGGACGAGGAGGCGTGCGCGCGGCTCCGCTCCGGCATGTACTCGGCGGCGGTGCTCTACGACGAGAGGACGCCCGATCTGGACGCGGTGAAGGAGGACAGCACGGTGACGCTCGTATTCAACGCGCTGTGCAGGGATTCCGCGGGCACGCTCGTCTACCTGCTCAAAGGTACGAAACACTGCAATGTAGCCTGTTGTTTTATTGTTGTAAACATCCAACTATCACATTATATTTGCTCTGCGTAAATTTATCTGAAAGTAAACCCCTCAAAAAACGTCTACTACCACTATTCTGACTTCATAGTCCATTCATAGAGCAGCTACAGCTTAGACTTGACTTAAAATTTAAACTAAATCTGATTGAAAAATAAACTGCATTTATATTTACTGTCAAGATAATCATTTAAACATTTATATTAATATTCTTCCCCTATGGTATAGATTACAGTCTGAAAATATGCATTAGAATAAGGCTAAAATTGTGTAACATTAAAGTGTACTATCTGTTAAATATAAACAGTTTTAAATTTATGTCACAGTTAAACCAAAAAAGCCTACTTAAATAAACCTATATATTGTAATCCATTCACATTAGAAATACTGGAGATAGATTTTGCTATAGACAACCAAATGAAAAGCATAATCTGCAATCTATATATAAAAACACACAATGTATGACATAACGCTACACGTTATAGAATCTCTGCATTATCCAATCCTCAATTATTTGATCAATATCCGCTCCGGACATCCATTTATAGTATCCATTTGACTCTGTTGTAATGTTTTTGGTCTTACACACCCTACTCGCACTCTCGCGGGCCAATAGCAGCCAGGGCAGGGGATGAGGTAATGCTGATGCACATTGGGTATCAAGCAATATACGCAGTTCCATCATCACCAACACTATAACGCTGAGAAATGAGCTTTTGTACGTGCCACGGTGAAACAAGATGATATTTGAGTTATAGTCAGTAGAAAGTATTATTTTGGGGGTGCAATGTGGTGACGCAGTTATCTCGAAGCATGGTGGTGGGTGTATTGCTGGCTTTCAGATGCCATTGCAAATAGTATGTAGTCTTGTAGTGATGTTTATTTGGATCTAGATGGGGGTAAAATGACTATTGTTCATTTCGATTTGAGTTGTGAGTTGGTTGAATATACGCTGCGTTCACACATGTTTTGATTTTATCTTGGTTTGACCCTCTTCTAGTCCTGGTTAAATCCTGGTTTAATCCCAGGTTAGTCCAGGTTTTGTGAAAGCAGCCTGAGGTGGGATAATGGACTTAAGTGTGAGACTCATAAAATGATCAGGTTTGACATTTGTGGATTTTAAATTTGGATATTTCTGATGACAATTGATTACGGCATTCTAGAATCTGAAAACAACCCACACATTTAAAAACGCAAAGCAACAAGAAGAAGGTAATATCTGTAAAACTGAAAAAAATAAATAAAAATGTGAAATTCGAACGACAAAGCAGGTCAGAGGTCATTTGTTTGCAAGAAAATCCGACTAAAGATGTAATGAGAAGAATGGGTTATTTTTTCATTTTGTCAGTAAGTTGTACAAATGAGATAAGAGAACATACTCTAATATTGTTGACACTATGGTCTGTGTTGCAGGTGGCTACGACAGGTTTTTCACAGAGTACCCTGAATATTGCCTGACAACCAAGTCCTTACATTCCCTCACCAGTCAGTCTAGTGTGGACTCTGCCTGTTCATCGTGTGGGACGCCACAACACGACCAGGTAAGGAACTGAACATCTACACACTTATTACGAGTCACGTTTTTGTTCAGACTTTATTAAGATTAATTAAAGTGTAGTTATTGATCCCTCTATCAAAAAAAGGAAAGTTGTTTAATAATCTGGAATTGTGTATGTGTGTATGTGTGTGCTCCCCTGACGTCAATAGTAGCTACAAAAGAATCAAGCTATTTCAGAAATTAGAAGATGATTTCAAGTACAAAATCAGTTGCATATTCATGTTCATAGTATATTCTGAATAAATTAATGCTGTATTCTATTGAGATCCTCTTTCTCCTGCTAGGTACACAGAACTGTGGCCTAGACCTGTTTGCTTTGTAAACATAAGAGCGCATACATGCAGTCTATAATCTGTTTATTCAGAGCTGCTTAGCCGGTTTTAAATATTGACCATTTATACAGTAATCGTGCACAAGCGTACTGAAAAGAGTTCCTAGTCTTGGCCTGGGGGTTGGTTTTTAATGTTGCACTCGCCGCAACTTCCTGTGACCCTGCTGACCTTGTATGGTGATTGGTCATCTGGAGTCAGACGTTTTGTTCTGGTTTAAATTCCCTTCAGGAGGCACAATCCGGTCTCTTGTGTGCTGGCTGATTGCCACGGCCATGCTGATTTATTTATTCCAGGAACGAGCAGGAATATTTCAAATTCCAAATAAATCATTGTAAAAGAAATATTTAAAGTTGGTCTGAAAAAGCACACATTTTGTACATTATTCCTCATTTTCAATTTAAAGACAAAATGCTCTACTTCTGCTACTACTACTATTGCTACTAGAATACAAATACAATACATACTTATATACTGGCAGTGTTACTAATACTTAAAAATACAAAACAATCTTTCATTTCATTTGTTGTTTGAGACTACTACAGAGACTACTTCTACTATTACTACTTCTGATACTTTCCTACTACTACTACTACTTCCTATTACTGTACTACAGATATTACTACTACTAAAGCAACTCATTATTCTAGTATTACAAACTTAGATACAGTACTATTCCCAATAGCTGTGAAATTAAATTATTTTAGACCTTGATATAAATGAATTTCAAATACATTTTATAGAGCAGTACTTCCAAAATGACATACTTAAGTATTTATCCACCCTTGTCTGTTATGGCAAAGAGATCCAGAGTGCTTCTTGTTGTTTTCGTCCCGTCTCTGTACCCCTCCCTCTCCTGCTCTTCCTCCTCCTCCTCACATTACATCTCTTAGCACTATCGATCATTTCCTGATGCTGTGTTAGTGGGACGCTCGTCAGAGGCAGTGACATAAACGCACTAAGGCCTCGTCAATAAGTTCAGTACTGGTTCAGACCACAGACCTCCAGCGGGTGCCCCCAGCCAAGCGTGACACCCAGACACCCACACGGCAGCATCAACGCAGCCACACACAGCGCTGTAGACTGCACATTGTTATATCCATGTTTTGACAATAGCATTGAATTGTGTTGTGAAAAATGTACTGAATTATATTTAACACACTGGTAATATTAACTTGTATGTGTTTCAGTGTTACTTTGTTTTGTAGAATGAGTGATCAGTGATCTAGTACACATTTTGTATTTGAGGTTTTGTAGACAGCATTGGATTTAAAATTTAGAATAACGCAAACAAAACTTCACTATCCAAAACTGTCCATCATATTTATTTTCACTTATAATTTCACTGAAATTCCCCATTATTATGAAAATTTATTTTTCTTCAAGCTACTTTGGAGGTTGATGTTAACTCTCTACTCCATCCAGTGGCAAAAAGTAATGTTGCAAGATTTTAGTGTACAGTTTTTTTTCGCTTTCTAATATAGCATTTTGTAATAGCAGTACATTGCAAACTCAATAGATACAAATGTTGAGAACTGATTTGTTGTGCAGTCCACCCCTCCCTCACCAAAAAAAAGCAGTATATTTGTTACTACAATCACCAAAAGACTTAGCTAGGAATTAGAAAGATTGATTTAAATACCTACTTCCTCCTTGGCGGTTTGAAAAAAGGATGCGCAACTTCACAGTACCTCCATTACAACTCATCCATCTTGTGTTATGCCTCGCGACTTTTGAATTATTTACAACCATAATTGAACCATATGTTGTTGTTTGTGTGTGTGTTCCAGGGCGGTCCAGTGGAGATCCTTCCGTTCCTGTACCTCGGTAGCGCCCTTCACGCCTCAAAGAAGGAAGTTCTAGACGGCATCGGAATCTCAGCCCTGCTCAACGTATCCGCCGACTGCCCCAACCACTTCGAGGGGACCTACCAGTACAAGTGCATCCCCGTCGAGGACAACCACAAGGAGGACATCAGCTGCTGGTTCTTGGAGGCCATAGAGTTCATAGGTCAGTGTCTGGAACTAGAGCTTGAACGAATGTAGCTCTATGAAAAGGGGTTAGCGCGTGGTTTCTTCCGGCTGATCCAAATCTGCCTCGTGCACGTTGTTGTTTTGTAGGTCATGTCTTTATTAGGTCAGATGGAGGCTGTCAGTGCGGTGATACTAACTGGTGTTACAGAAGGAAAGAGGTTTTATTATTTTGAAGCGGATTAGAGTGACACACATTTGCAAATAAATGTAAAAAAAGATTGAAATCAAGATTAAAAAATAATTTGAACTTATAGTAAATAGTGGAATTTCAAGTAGACAAGATGAAAACTGGGCTGATATAGAAATTCAATTCACAAAACAAATTAAACTAGTGTATTTCATCAATTATAATTTATTATAGTACATAAAGAAATTGGTTAGCTGAAGTTCAAATGCTCTCTTCGTGATGAATTTTAATATCCGGTCCACTGCTTGTCAAAACCAAATCAGTTCTTCCCATATAGCTAGTTCAAAATTCAAAGATGACTAACCTGAGATGTTCCTACACAAATCCGCTGTCGCAATACATTATGGATTATTTACACGCCTGCCGCAGTGCCTATCGCAGTAATCCATATCAGACCTGCCAAGTCAATGACACACACACACAGAGGGTACAAAGCAGGCTGACTGAACTGAATGTGAGGGTTTTCATATGAGGGCCATGTGCAGAGGCATAGTGGGACTGCGTGCGAGTGTGCGTCAGAGCTGCACTGGGACAGGCTCTGAGTCATCCACTGTTACTGGGCGAACAGAGGTGCCGCCGCCGAGTTACCTGAAAAGTGCCCGCGTGTTGTGGAGGAGGCAAGAATCAGAAGTGGTAGATGGAGAATAGAAAGGGTAAAACGGTGGCGTGGATTTTATTATTTTTTGTTTATTTTGTGCAGCAGCAGATGCATTACTTAACAAAATCATTTAACATTAAACCTTGACACTTGACCTGGCACATTTGAGACATTACAAAGAAATCAAAGAGACTGTGTACTGTAAAGTTGCATTTTTTAAATATCTTTTCCTGCTGAGAACACTTTTACAAGTTACACCATAAAATAAGATACTGCTTTTATTAGGGTTGCAATTCAAAAAAGAGAAACTATTTTTGGCTTACAGATGAAGAAGACTATTTGGTTTAAGTGGGAAAATATTCATGCAAATATTGCGGCAAACCCAGAAAGAAAGATTGGCAATAGCAAGAGCACTCATCCTTGGTATTAGCTGCTTCTGCCTAGATGTTTACCAAATTTATGTATTATTTACTTCCACTTGCTATTTGGAAATTGCATCTTGAAAGTGATGAACTACTGTTATATTTTATGCCATTTCAAGAACTTTTCCAATTAGATCAATATTACATAATTTTGATAATATGACCAACTGTATTTAGGTCTAAGCTAAATATAGTTGCAGTATTTTCTGGCTTAACATAGTTGCTGCTTCCAAAAATTATAACTAAATATACTGGCACACATTATAGCATAAGATATTAATACATTTTAATGATTGCAACCACTATATAGGTCTATTGTGATCGTTACTTGCTGAAAATTAAATGGATGTAATCAATGGAATGTGAATAAAGTTCTCCCAATAAGTTCTTTATATTTAGTCAGCTTAATTCCCTGCAGGCTGCCGCTCACGCCACACAACATTGTTAAACCAATCATGCCGACGAAGCTCATTGGGGAAATTGAATTAGCAAAGAAAATCAGACTATTGCCTGGTGGAATGTAATGAATCGGCCTAAAACACACAGAGAAGAGGAGGGAGGGAGAGATAGAACAGGGGAGGAAGTGTGTGCTATGTTTTTTTTTTTGTTTGTTTGGTTTTTTTTTTGCTTTTGCGTGGTCGTGTGGCTAAATGTGATTTGCTGTTTTTCTCACTCGGAGCAGAGACAGTGCTGAGGGATGCAAAGAGGAGGAGGAGAGGAAGTGTGATAAGGAAGGCATCGCTGCAGATTTGTACGAGCTATTTTAAACGTGATATGTGGAGATATGTTTGACACTTTGGAACAGAGGTGTCAGCTGAGAATAGCAACACAATGGGCTCCGCTGTGTAAACGTCGAGATCTGAATGCTATGTTTTGTTCGGTTATGTTGGCTTACAAAGTATCCACCAAAGATATTAGTTGCTTATGATGTGTAAGAGTGTACATGCAAACATAATCCAAAATAAAACAAAACTGACTGTCATGGAATGTAGAGAAGTTTACACTTGCATTTAAATTTCTCCTCTAGTTAAGATTTTGTTGTGTCCTTGAGCAAGACAATTTACTCATCTGCCACGTCTCTGTTAATCGGTAGCAATAAATCAATCTTGCTATTCCATTTATGTGCTCTATGCTCACTCTTACCGCAGCAGGGGATTCACCAGCCACCTCAGCCTATCAACACCCATGCCTAGGCCTTCATGTGTTTTTACTCATTTCAGTACAGTAACATCTAGAACAGACATGTCAAACTCAGGCCCGTGATATAATTATATTTGGCCCACGAGATCAAATGTGTATTAGAGCTGGCCCGCCGGCTACAGAGACATTATTTATTTAAAATTGTGTTATTATTTTATCTTATGCTTGTTCTGAATTCAATGTTTATGCAAACTATTATAAAACATTTATTTTAATAAGAAAAGTTTAACATTACATATCTCAAAAGAAGAAAAAACATGCAGATGTTGTTGACATTTTTCAATAAATATTTAATTTGGCCCACGACTTAGTCCCAGTTTTAAATTTTGACTCTCTGTGAATTTGAATTTGACACCCCTGATCTAGAATATATTAAGTTATTATAAAAGTATAAATATGTACATACAAATCCCCATGTTTAAGTATATATCTCTAACCTGTTGTCTCTTGTGTCTCCCCAGACTCAGTGCGGGACTCCAGCGGGCGCGTGCTGGTCCACTGCCAGGCCGGCATCTCCCGCTCAGCTACCATCTGCCTGGCCTACCTGATGAAGAGGAAGCGCGTGCGTCTGGATGAAGCCTTCGAGTTCGTGCGCAGACGTCGCAGCATCATCTCCCCCAACTTCAGCTTCATGGGCCAGCTCCTGCAGTTCGAATCCCAGCTCCTCGCCACCTCCTGTGCCGCTGAGGCCGCCGCCACGGCCAGCCCCCTGCTAGCGCCCAAGTCCGCCGCTAACCCCTCCGCCACTGCCACGCCCACTTCGCCGTTCATCTTCAGCTTTCCCGTCTCGGTGGTCAACCCCGTCTACTTGCACCACAATCCAATCACGACGTCTCCCGGCTGCTGATGGCTGGACGGACATTTTGCTCACGGCTGGGACAGTATGGACAAAGCTGAGCACACACACTGGGCTGTGATTGGCTGAGAGAGCTGTCAGTCTTGTAATGCCGACAGCTACATGCTTCCAAAAAGGCGGGAGAGTATGCGTCACGGTGCCTAAATGACAACCATAGACAGTAGAAGGGTACTCCGCAGGGGTGTCCGCTCTCCCACTCACTATTCATGTTCAAAATTGATCTCTGGCAGCTAGCTTACTGCTACTAACTTAAGTAGGTTTTTCATGTTTTGTTTTTAGGGACCTACAGTTGTTGTTGGTTTTTTGTTTGTTTGTTTTTTTTTCTTCATCATCCAAGTACATTAGCATCATAAACTGGCTAAATTACCTGCTAAATTTATAACTTTTTGCCATATTTGGTGGTGTATATTTACACAAAACTAACTGGAATATTACCATGTATACACAATTTTTATTTTTTAGCTTTCACACAAGCAACATCCTGGTCAACTACACTTCTACTGTCTATGCTACAAAGACTTTTCAATGGTACACAAACCAGCCAATGCTCCATCCATTTCACTATTATCACAATAGACCAAAAAACATCCCTGGAATTTTTTATTTTATTAAATTTTTTTCTCTGGACTGGAGTGTTGGACTGAAGCTTCCTCCTTGAACCGGCACGCTACTTCGACACACACGCAGACACACACCTATCTCTCTCTCTCATTCATGACCACCAAATGAATAAGCTCAGTATGAGGACGGGGCCTGTTGCTACGGAGACGACAGGAGATGGACACAGGAAGGAAGGAGAGATCTTAAGCACCCCCCATCCCTACCCTACCCCCACCCCACTCTTTCTCTCTGTCTGTTCCTTCCTCCGTCGGGTGACAAAGGAGGATGGAGAGAGAGAGCAGTGACAGGTGCTTTGCTGGCTTCCTGTCTTTCTCTTCTGCTCCCCCTCTCCCCCCTACACACACACACACACACACCTTCCTTCCGCTTATGTTCTTTTCATCCTTTTGTAAGCTGCCCCCTCTCCTCTTTTTTTTTTTTTTTCCTCCTCTCTCATCTTTCTCTCTCTCATCCCCCGAATCGTGGTTAAATAAATCATACAAGATGCCAAAAAAGGCCACAAGCTGAGTGAACGCGAGGGAAGGCCCAGATTGGGGAAACAAAATTATGTAGGACTGACTTGGTGGTTATGTTTTAAGGTTTATAAATTATGTATTCTTCTTACACATGACATTTTCCCCAAACCCACAGGATGTTTTTGCTTTCTTTCAGCATAAGTGGCTTTTTTTTAATCTGACAAATTGCTTAAGGAAATGTGTGGAGTCAGTGGCCTCTATTGTGCACTACCACTGGTTTTCTAAGAGGTTTGTGCCTTGTTCTTAAAGGTATAATAACATGGTTTTAAGCTCCACTGGGTTGACTTTGGAGAGACAGGATAGCGCAAAAGTATAATGTTAATTTATTTAATGTAACTCATAGCCTATCCATATGTTAAATGTAATTCCAAATATTCATTTTCAAAAACAGGCCTGCAATAATTCATACATTTTTCAGCTTGATTTTTTTTTTACTCCATGTTTTAATAGCTCTGGAAATCTTGTATACAATTCTTGACCAACCCTTATTTATACCTGGCTCTCGTCTGCCTTTCTTTCTGTTGTACTTTGAACCAATGCAATGCTGGCTTACAAGGGTAGATAGACAAAATACAGTGACCCCTACGCTACTGAGACGCTGTTTACACTGTCTGTAAATCTCCAAAGTCCACCCATGGGTGCTTTTTCACCCAGTTCACCCGGTCAAACATTCACAAACATGTTACAAAGAAACTCCACTACCGCATATTGTTTTGGACAGTTGACGGCGGCACCTCTCTGTAGCACTTTGAAGTGATGCAATATTGTATTTATAATTTATGATTGATTTGCACATCATGGTTGAAGATAGGCGGACTAGATGTGACCCAATGGAATAATAATGAACTTGTAGGAAAAAGAAAAGAGTCAGAAGCGAGTTAATCAGTGGTAAAACGCAATACTAAATGTCTTTTGGTTTGTAATGTGTTTCCGTGAGTCCGTCCACCTGATCTGTTTGTCTGGTCAGTTACGACATCATGGCAATATCAACTCTCCACTGGGACTTTTCAAAGACTCTCCCTCAGTTTTATTGTGAATGAATGATCTGTGCATTTATTTATTACTAAGAATACAATGTTGAATAAAAAATGTTCTTAATGAAAATAATGAGGTGTGTGTGATGTTTTTCATAATATTGTAGAATAAAATATTTTAGGCTTATGAATAAACAACAACACGTTTAGGGTACAACTTAAATGTTTTTGTTAAATGAAAAGTAATGAAAAGTATGTTTTTTTTTTAAATGAAAAGTCAAATATAGGACAATAGTTAGTTGCAATAACAATAAAACAACAAGGCCTGTTCCATCTCCTTATATATTTCTGTATCTAATAAACTGAAAGAAATAAAGAGAAAAAAGTTAAAGAAAACAATTTATATTCTTTCATATTAAATGTAGTTAGGGTTATCAAATATAACAGTCATAAGCTGGTATTTTCTAGATCCTTCATTTAAAGTAAAAAATTAGTATGTTGCACCCTCCAGTGGGCATTTGAAGAAAGTGCAAAATGTCAGGTTTTAGTATCGCTTCGATTAACAGGTCCATGTCATTTTTTTAGGCCGTTTCTGCTTATTTTTAGAATGTCAGACATTATTAACAAATAAACAATTAATAAAAAAAAAAGTATTATTCATTATTTATACCATTTTATATTTGTTTCAACAAAAATAGTATTATGAACAGAATGTTTCTATATGTATATATCTATTTTTTCTTTTTTTAACTTATGCTCAAATAAAACAAACAATAGCAGAGACATTAGTAGGCCTATGTTTAAAAATGATTAGTCACTATCTGCACTTCCTATGGAATTGTGGGTTTTCTGCAGGTGCATCAGCTAAAGCTAAATAGCCCTTCTAAATAGTGAAGGTATTATTTGTCCAAAAAAATCACAGGAGACACAGTTGAGCTGATTTATTAAGGATTTTGTTCTGTACAAGTGTTTGTTCCACATGTTAGCTGTCAGACTGTACATCTGTACACAGAATACACATGATGAAGAGAGAACGCCTTTATCACTCCAGTTTGAAGAGCACATTCACTGCGTTTCTCTCAATATATTTACACAACAATGGCTGCCTGGTCCGCGGTCCAGCAAAACACAAACCAGACACAACACAATTCCAAAGAGTAGTCACATTAAAGTCTTTACATGAAAATAATGTTTAACATATCTCATAAAAGGCCTATCTAGCAGGGTTTTAAATTGTCCACCTGCTCTGGTCATTTCTGTAATCTCACTCAAAATTATCACAATTAGATCTGAATTCTTTTTACCCCATTTCCTTTCTCGTGAAGTTATTTTAATGGCATAACTCAGCGCACTTTGATTCAGTCTATTTTATCAAAGTTAAATGTGCCAACTACTGCCCGGCTAGATCAAATGCTGCCTTGAGACACGGTCGCCTATGAAGAAATACTGATATTCAAAATACTAGGCCCATGTCTCCACAGCAAAATCCAAAGTTAACTTCACATTATGTATTAGAGGCACCCTGATCAAGGATTTGACCTAGCCTAGCCCATACAACAAATAACGATACGTGTCAAAGTGTTGTAGATATATAGTTTAAGTTTAAGGCAATTCACGATGGATTATAGAAATGTGGAAATCAAAATGAAAACCAGTGTGGTCCCATAGCAGTGTGATATTTAAGTGTTAATAAATAAATACATCATATTAAAACACTGAAAAAAACTCAATAACTGTGAGGTGAATTATGGTAGTGTAAAGTAAACATTTGTGTATTATTGGCCGTTCTTCATCAAACTATTAAACCTTAGCCTCTATGCTTAAAGTGGCTGTGCCTAATTTTTTCCATGTATTTCAGCAAAATGTGTCTCACCCCAGTACAGATATATTGTATAAACAGCTCTTAAAGTCAAAATAAGTCAGCTGCATACTGTCTGCATCTAATTGTCCAAGCATCAGGAAGTGCATGTTTTGCATACTAGTAGTTGTTAGCATTACCATGAAGGCAAAGCAAAGTTCTAGTGTCTTGCCTCTGAAAGCTGTTAGAAGCTCTTATAAACTCATCAATGTGAATAATTAGGATGCTCAGAATGCATATAGGTAAGTGAGGAAAAAATCTGGACCGACAATTTATAATGAGCTAGTTCTGCTTTTTGAAGACAGTCAAAATCTGGCACAACATCTTTAAACCTACTGGATGATTTGGAGGCAAGCTGTTCACATTCTAAAAAATAGAGTCTTGACTAATTGTGTAATTAAGCTTGTTCCTTTGTTACACCACTAGGAGGCAGCCAGTACGCAAGTTCAATGAAAGGCAGCAGATGTGTGTAAACAAAATAAAAAATAAATAAATATAAAGATATTATGTTATATATTGATAGCACTGAAATGTAACTTGATCCATGTACCTATTGTGATGTAGAAAATTGTATCGTGGTCCCAGTTTTGAGCAATACAATGCACCTCTGGATTGTCATTTTGTCCTTTTAACAAAAGCAGACTCTGCTCCCAAACAACATTCATTTTTAAACATGAAAAAATAATGTGAAAGAATAGGGCTTGAAATGAAAAAAAAAAGCTCTTATTTTTGCTTTGTGGCCCCAGGGACTTTTTCCAGAATAAATATCAAATGACAGGGAGTATGAGGAGAACAAAGGAATGTGTTTTTGCCTTGAAGAATGAAACAGAGATTCACAACTCCATATTTGGGCTAATCTCCTTTCTATATGCGCCCCACCTCCACGCATCGCCTTGGTGTTTTCAGTCTGCCTCGGCTCCAAGGGCTCTTCTCGAGGTTTAAAACACCTCTTGAGTCTATATATTCTGTAGTACACGGTCTTGTTAGGATCCTTAAGACTTCTGTTCGGCAGAGGCAGCAGGGGTGGCCACACTTTCCGGCTTCACAATCTGATACGTGATCAAGTATTCCGGATAAGCCTGGAAGGACAAACAAAATACTGGCAATGTTATAATACCCCAATAGGTAAGGGTTATCATATCAACAAGTGTAAACTCATGGGCAGGCTACACTCTGCTTTGCTTAGTACTAATAATGGTACACTTTGTCCCTGTAGAGACATTTAATAATGAGTCAAACCTACAACCTTCTTGCGAGACGGTTGCAGACTGTCGACTCTCAGGAAAACTCTGGCAATGTCATTACCATGATTACACTTTAACAGACTAAGCTAAGTTCGTCCTATTATTATTACTGTGCTGTAAAGTATACTAGAATACCTGGCCCAAAACTGCACTGTTCTGTTGAATGTTATGGTAAATAAATACATAACTATTTGCTCCATCTGAATGCAACCAACATTAGTCATGTGGTAATACAGGAAGTGCTCCACTGTGTTTTTAAACTCCATACTCCTTCACTAGTAATCATTTGGATGATTTTTGCCCTGAAACTGGCGATCTCTACTGCACAAAATATAAAAGGTAGCTGTTAACTTGAAAACTACACTTCATGACATCACCAGATGGAGCAGAGCATTTTGAGCTTTGGAGAGGTAGACAGATTAATAATAAAAAAGGTGAAACAAGGTGAAACAAAACAACTCCAGGTATGTTTTAATGAGGTAACAACATTCTAACATAACTCAAAACTCACAAGAGTCAATTTTGTGTAATATAGAACCTTTAAAAAACTGCCAATACATACAATTATCGGTTTTCTTTTGTTTTGAAATGTGAAAATGGACTGGACTAAATATTAGAGGACTACTGTGAGATTTGGATACAACAAAGTGTGGCATGTACCTGCTCCCCTCTGTAGATGACATACTCCGCGTAGGCCAGCCCGTTGACACTGGGGCGACCGATGACCGAGTGGTGACCTGGAGGAGCGTGGGCCATTTTCATCGCACTGAACTGAAGGAAGGACTTACCCAATGTCACTCTGCAGAACAGCATTTGTCTGAAACGCAAGAGAAAATTAAGAGGAGGAAGTTGTGCCTAGTTAGTTTAGAAAATAAAGCAAATACAACACAGCTGATTTTGTTGGGAAAATACATTTGAAGATGTTAGATGGGCCTCTAGTCTTTTATCTTGTAAGTCAATTGTACAATGAATCCTTAAGTTTTTATTTTTGGATTTATTGTGACAGTTGTGATAAATGACAATAGTTGATAAACACTGCAAAAATAAGTAAATTTCCCAGGAAAATTTTGTAAAATGTAAATACAATCTATTAATAAAAAAACAAAACAAAACTGAATTTATTTTATTTTTGAAACCTCTTAGGGTCATCTAGAGAGTTTTTCACCATTCCTTAATATTTTAAATATGTTTATTATATTAACTGTTGACTATCCCCAAAGCCTTACCTATGGCACACGTAGCAGGAGCGGTCTTTGTGGGTCGGACATCCTGTGCCTCCACCAATCCCGTACACATACTGGTTACTTTTGGAGGAGTTCTCGGCAAAGTAGATTCCTGCCCCAAACATGCCCCCGATGTAGGCATGACGCTCATCGAAGCCTTTGTGGATGATAGCATTAATGAACGGAGACCCTGGAAGGAGATGCAGAGAAAGGATGAATTTCGAGATAAGAAAACAAAGAGTTTGAGTAACATTGTTCTTGGAAAATAAAGAGATGACAGATTGTTGGAGCTGAATAAATAATGCTAAATAATGCTATTATTTTGGCTTGGAATACTGTTCTGCCGTTTTAAATCTAGATTTGAGTGACTGTATCCAGCATGCACAATTATCGAAAAAAAAAAAAAAAAAGTTCCCATTGCAAAATACCGTGGTAAATTTTTTTGTTTTTGTCACACATATCATTTTCCTCCTGTTTCTGATGAGTGTCCAGCAGTGCTTTGACACAATAGCTAGCACCCCATTCAAGACTTCCACTGCAAACATCACCTTTGATGATTTGGTGACAGGTTAAAAGTAAACCACAGTACGATGCCATAGTTATGGAGTGCCACTAAGTGTGTCTGAAGTATGAACAATTGTTCATATGACACATTTCAGGCAATTTTTCACTCAGCAAATATTTGATTAGTACAAACATGGCATTTAATGCTGAATTGTTGACACACTGTCAGCAAACTAATGACTCAGGGCTATTAATCACCTTTTTGCAATAAAAAGTTGAATAATTAGATTTGGGAGCCACTCAAGTTCAATGACAGCAAATCTAAAATGACAGGATTTATTGTTGAATTCTCAGCATTATTCCATCCAAACATTTATACTGCATCTTTCAGTGGCTGTGTTTACCTGCACATTGCACAACAAAAATCTAATTATCATCTGATTTCTGAAGTTATCAGATTATTGAGATTTCATGTAAACAGTAACATGATGTGAGTAATTGGATTTCTCTTTGATTGTTCACAGGATTAGACACTGAAAATATGCAATAAAGGCAAACTATGGGGCAAAGACAAAAATTAAACTGAAAATATTTAAAGGTTGATGGTTTTAAAAATCATTGTTTTTATCCATATAGCAAAAATACAATGATAATCAGAAAGGTGATTTTGATTGTCAGATTTAATTTCATGCAAAAAAAAAAGTGTTAATAATGGACCATGAGTCTGGAATAAAGTTGATCGCATTGAAAATTTACCGTGAAACAGCATGCGCTCGTTGTGATGGTTGTGGTTTTCGTCTGCGATCTCTTTTTGTCTGTGCGTGTATCTTTCCCGTAACTTCTTATTCACCACTTTCTGAATCTGGAAAATAGAGGAAGAGTATTTATGGAACTTATTGATTTTTAACATTCAGAAAGATGATGCTGAGCTTATGAAAGACCACACAGCTCTAAAGTCCTTAGATGATTTATGAGAGGGCTAACCTTAATGATATTGTACCGACTGAAGACTCCGCCCGCGTTGCCTCCATCTCGGTGCTCTCTGATAGTGCTCTGGAGCTGTTGGGTAAAACAAGATGAGAGGTGAAATTAATATGTGCAGCGAAAACATTTTGATCAATTGCAACTACATCTGTAAATAATCTAAATAACAAGAGACTAAAATTAATATCTCAATATCTGCAATGCATCAGGACTGTGCTAAAATGTGCAAATATTTTGGTTCAAGTATCAAACAAAAGTGAATGGACCATAACATTTACAAAAATAGGGCAGAAATATCACTTTACACTTGTTTAGAAGATTACACTTTTGCCTTTTGAGGTTATTTTCCAAATGTGGGGATATTACACTTGCAGTATTAACTGCTAACACATTACCTATTTACGTAGATCATCATGTTACCTTTTGCTGTTTTGAAAATTCTGTATTCTTGAAAACAACACATTAACATGTTTAAGAAGTTTCATTTTCATTTTTATGAAAAATGAACCCCAAATGCATCAGTGTGCATTTTGCTAATAAATCTACTGCATGTTACATTGGGGTGATGTAGGTGGAGCCTAGTAGAATACTCAAATATGCATGACAAATAAAACTTCTATAGGCTCAGTATGTTTTTGATGAAGAAACAGTGTTATAACATGGCAGAAAGCTCCAAAGTTTATTTTGCATAATACCCTTCTTTAAACGTTTTAAGAAAAGGCAATATAATATTCAAGTTTTGCATACCTCCAAAACCACAATAGCGATATCATACATTTCTAGACTTTTTTGATACACCAATGAGGAGAAAGCAAAGGAAATCTTGATGAATTGTTGATCTATATGGAAATTGTCCAAGCTATGAGACTAAGAGCAGGATTTCTGAGGTAAAGTGGTCTTGTAGATATCAGAGAAAAGAGGAGAATAGAAGCTGATTGAAACTGATTGGGGCTCTCAGCCTTGGTCTGCACAAAACCTCATCTAAATGCACAACACATCAGATGACTTCTCTAGGATTCAGCTTTGATTTGATTGAGGTTACTGTAAGGTTACTGGTGATGACTTTAAAGGTGCACTGTGTCACATTTCTTTACCCCTTGAACATGTTATTGGCCTAGAATCGTCCACTGTAAGCTATAAAAATATCTATCCTCATCAAATAAAAGCTTATTTATTTTATGTTAAATGGTAAAAGTGTATAAAGACATTTTTCCATAAAATTATAAAAATGCAATTATAAATATGCTCTAATCTTATACGGCATATTTTTCAGAATCAATTCAATCTATGAAGATTCTGAAAAAGCTACATGCCACGGGGGATACTAAAAACTCCCAAGAAATGTAGTACAAAAGAAGTGCAATTTCCTGCATTTTAGTGGTTTCAGGGGAGGTTTTCCAAAATCTCATGCTCATTTTTACTGTGATGACAGAAATAGTCTCTATTACTTCAATAAAATAATACAGCAACGCAAAGGAGGAAGAGATTTTTCAGGACTTTTGGCCGTTTTTCTAATTCAAGCCAATTATTTTCCAGAATTTCCAGGATTTGTAGGAACCCTGGTTTTCAAAATTTGCACTGACCCTATCAAATAAACAAAATCAACCTGTAACTGTACCACTGAATACAATATGACCAACTAACACTAGAACTCTTATATCCCTTCAGAGGCTTGAGTAATAACATGCACATGAGTTCTATGAGGTTTCTCAGACTCTTTTCATTTCTACATTACATCAGCTATAATTAAAACCAAAAAAGTAGTACACTAGTGGTAGTTTCAAATATTATCTACAGACAGAACGCGTCAGTCATTTCCAGTTTCATTAAAAATTAAAGCAAAGAAACGAGCGTTAAATTTGTGTTGAGCCTGACAGTGCTCATTAATTTTAAAGACATTCACATTGATAACTGCTGTCGTCTCCAATTACCCCTTTCATTTACAAGAGCGGCATAGGCAGGGCTGCGCTCACACTCTTGCCGATATGGAACAAGATTGGAGGGTGATAGGACTAATTATTTGGCATTGAGTATCGATAATAAAAAGCTGTGTTGTACAATATGTGTTTGAAAAGCAGAAATTAGGATAGATTAGCTGAAATAGAACATGTACCTCCTCCTCCACCGACTGGAACTCCTTGTCGTCCGGCGAGAGGTCAATGAGGACTGTGCCCTGGCTCGAACAGTGGAATGTCAGGTATGGGTTGGCACCTGCAGCACAGCAATATTGGCAAAAATAAATCAGAGTGTGTGAATTCTGGGTGTCTGACACGCTTGTTGTTAGGTTTACCACGAATGACAAACTCCAGTCTCATCTCTAAATGTTGTTGTTATAAACTCACTGCAATGACTCTGTGAAAAGTGAAAACTAACTTTGAAATGACAAGGCCATTTGAAATGTAGTTTTAAGTAGTTAAAATGATTTAAGAATCATTTTGAACCCAATTTCATTTGCATATGGCTTTTAAAGAAATAAAAAATCTATTGAATTTAATGTCCTTAGCTTTTCTTAAACATTTCCAGACCATTGGGAACCCCTTTAAATCATAACAAATTATGTGATTATCTTCACTTAATATTTGAGTATTTAAAATAATAACAAAAGAACAGCGGTGAAGTGCTAAATTTTGAGTTTGTATTTCCAAATCTCCATATGAGCCCATGTTCCAGTGAGTGCACTACTGTGTGCTGGACTGACCTTGCTGGCCTCCCAGAAGCCTCTCGATGCCCTTGATGAGTTTGTGTCTGTGGCCGTAAGCGTTGATGCCAATCTCTTTGAGCTCCTCATGACCCATGTCGGCCAGAACGTCCAGTGAAATCTGCCCACATGCAAGAAATATATTAACATAAAAATAATGAATGTAAAAATACACAGTCCTGCTGGCTATGTCAAATATGTACAATAGTGATCAATAAACATAGCAAGAGGTCACAACTATGGTCAGCACTATAAATTTAAAATATTCCTGTTAGGGCAGGGTGAATATAATTAACAATATACCAAAGACTTTATAATATTGTTTTTAACACTGAGTAGATATGATCTATATTTGAACTGCAATGAATATCTTTGTTGTAATTTTATTGTTTCTGTAATTTTATGTATGACACTAAACCTGTAAAGGCCTTCATCAGTCATGGTTGTTTTTAAAGTGTACTATATAAATAAATGTTATTGATTGCTACTAACTTGTTTCAGGCTACTTAAGTTCTAGCTATAAGCTCTTATCTCTTTCATTATGAGTTTTTAGCATCGGTAGAGCCTCCGCAGTCAGTGTTTAAGTCGTTCTGGGCTTTAGTGGTACCAATTAGCAATGAACTGTCTGTCTCACCTCGCAAGTGAGGGGAAAATCAGATGCAGTCTCATATCATCCCCATATACACTAGCAGTCAAAAGTCTGGACACACCTTGTTTTTTTTTTTTGTTTTTTTTTTGTTTAGAACTTTCTACATTTTAGATACAAACTGAAGACATCAAGTATGTGGTGCGAGAGATTTATTTATGTCACAAAGAAAAAAAAAACAAAAAAAAAAACATTTAAATAGCTAAACTTTGTTTTAACATTTTATATTCAAATTCCTCTAAGTAAGTTTGCTTTGTTGACAGAACTGCAAACCCTTGGCCATCTGTCACTGAGCCTCATGATGAACTCTCCTGAAATGGTTTTCACTTCAAAGGTGTGCCTTGTCACGGTCAAGGAGTGCCAAGAGTGTAAAGCAGTGATCAAAGCAAAGAGTGGCTATTTTTCAAAAATCTAAAATGTTTTGGGTTATTTTGAATTTGTCTTGTTTATTTCATTCTATATATGTTCATTCATAGTTTTGGTGCTTTCAATGAAAATATAATCTAAATAATTGTGAAAAGGAAGAAAAAAACATAAATGAAGAAATGTGTCTTAATTTTGGACGGGGAGTGTATATCACAGTATATCACCAAAGATACGATATGACCCAGTCCTAATTCCAGTAATTGATCCAATAGACATGGGACTGCATCATGTTGAGTTGGTGAGCTTCATCAGTACAGTGCACAGGGTTTTATTTTATTTCTCCTTTTACTTTGTGCCAAAACTTGTTTTTCTGTTCCGTCCATCCGTTTTGATATTATGATGCCAGATGCCTTAGCGAGCCAGTTTGAAGACATGTACTTATAAAAATATCCCCTTAATTTCAGAAATGTGTCCCACTTTGCTCTAGGTTCTAATAATCTAAAATGCAACTTTTACTGTTGATGAGTCACCACCATAAGCTTATATTGAGTGGGCTCTGTTTATCCCCACCAGTCCTGCTATCAATGATTAAAGTTTGGAAGAGAAAGTGAGATGTCATTAGCAATTACGGTCTACATTCTTCACCCTACAATAACAAGTTTGTTATCATAGCCTTGAACCCGCTAACTTTCAAATTTTGTATCTTTTCCAAGAACTCAATCTTCTTTTCAAACTCTGCCTGCTCTTCACTCTTTAATTTGCTCTCCATTATAGTCAACTTCCAGGGTTCCATTTGCACAAACGAAGAACTCAGAAATTAACAGCGTGTGAAGCACAAACACATTAAAACAGATGTGGCCGCAGCTCATCTAACGTTCTATATTTGTACTTATTTTCCACCTCCTGCTGTGCTGAGGAAAATAAGAGGAAACAGCATATAACTAACACCATGTACGGGTTGTTTACCTGCTCTCTTTGGAAAATGTCCCGAAGATGCTCAAGTCCTAAACTCTTCAGGAACTGGTTTATGGTCATGTCGAGCAGTGCTGTAGATAAAGAAACAAGAAACAAACAAAAATAAATGAATCCGAAAAAAAAAATATAAGATTCAAGGATATTCGTAAGCATTTATGTCTATGGTTAAAGTTGAGCGAAACCAATGGAGTGACATTAGCAGCAGAACATGAAGCACTTGTATTTATTGTAGGGTTGTCAGTATCGAAAATCTGATGCTTATTGATACTAAAACTAGTACTGAAACTAGAAATAATTTGAGCAGGTATCAATACTAAAAAAGTTACATTCACAGGACGGAAATGAACCTTTCCTTAGTAGCTTTAGAACGATCGTAAAGTATAAGATCACATAGATTAGTATACACCAATGAACCACTATGGAACCTACCTGGACCACTGAGGGATTACACAGATGTAAGACCATATGGTAATATAAAAGAAAGTACTGCATTCTATTTTCTAAGAAAGAGTGTTTTTTATTATCATCAGGGTATTGGAATCTGTATGGAGTATAAAGTCTATTTAGTCCATTTATTTCTGGCATTGTGACACTAACACTAAAACATTAGCAATAAAATCATCTCATTTGCACCATCTGGTTAGTTCTACAACATTAGGTGCACTATGTAACTTTATTGGGGGGTCTGGCACCTACTTGTCTTATAAATATGTTATTGCTTTTCCAATAATGTTCCACAGCATAGCCTAAACTGCTATAGCTTGCATTTTTTTTATTATCTGTATTTTTATTCCTACAGAAATTCCTTGAAAAACATGCATTCAAACTGAGTGGGCTTGCCTCTTCACAGATCTGAACTATAATTTGGCTAGTGGTGTCACCTGCCTGTCTCCATAGAGATGAAAAATTGTAATGACATACTGTGGAGGATTTCAGGAAAGGGATTAGTATCTCCTATGAGGCCTAACCCAGAAATGTTACAGAATGCACCTTTAAGTCTGATAAGAATAAAAATGTGGTGTGACTTTACTTTCTCCTTCCTTCCTGTCTGATCCCGATGCCCCGTCTCCTGTCCCTGTGGCACCACCCACTGTGATGTCACTGAGGGGCACGCTCAGGTTGTCTATACTGCTGGCTGCGGACAGACAGGACGGGGATGGGGATGGAGAGATGACCACGCCGCCTGCAGCACCAGTGCTCACTACACTGGCACTCACCTAAAGAAAACAACAAAAACGTGTTAATTAGATGTACTTACTACTTACAGTTTTAAAAGTATAATTATTTAAATTAAGATAATGTCCAAACACACCACAGTGGCTTGTGGTTTCAGACAGCTGGGCAGGGCATCTGGAGGCATAGCATCGATCAGCAAGGCTCTGATGTCATCCGCCTGCGGTGAAAGGAACAGAGATTGTGATTGGAAATGTGTCAAAACTATTTGCACATTTCAGATCCCATGACAGCCAGCATGCAAGATATAACTTGAACACACATGTACTCACTGCAATTTCTGTAAATGTGATATAAACAAAAATAATCATCATATTATCTAACTGTTAAGTGCATACTAAAAGAGCACTTGGTGTGTTTTAATCAAATAAGGCAAAAAGAGTATTACAAAATATTACTTGTTGCCTACTAAATAAAGTTTAAATAACACTAAATATCATATCTGGTCAATAACGATTAAAAAACAATATTTTTTTACAGCCAAAGAAAAGTTAGGGCCTGTAATAATATATCAAGATTTCTTTTTTGAACTTAAGTTTTTAACACTTACTTAAAAGTAAAGTTGAATGTATTACATAGAGTGACTTTGATATTAGATCTTAAAAAAAATAAAAAATAAAAATCTGTTACCGTTGCCAGGTCCAGCGGCGTCTGTCCTTCCTGGTTCTTCATGGTGGGGTCTGCTCCGTGGGCCAATAGGAGGGCACAGAGCTGAGTCCTGCCCTTCTGCGCCGCCTCGTGCAGTGGAGTGAATGCCCACTTGTCTGTGGCATTGACGCACGTGTTGTACTTGATCAGCAGGGCGGCGATATCTACGTGCTAGACAGACGACATAAGAAGAAGAAGAGGAGGTAAGCGTGTACAGCGGGGGAGATCTGATGAGTGTGAAGCGTGCTGCATAAATGTGTGATCAAGAATTTCAAACAAGCCAAGTTTTGTTCAAGATAATACAAAAGTAAGACCCCAGAAAGATGGAACATGATGAGCAAAATGTATCACTATCATACATTAGATACAAGTTATTTTTTGTCCCCCAAGTTTAACTTTAAAGTGCACTGCGTAACTTTTCTGGTAAAGGGTCTGCCACCTGTGCCATTCCAAGGTGTTTTTTCCTAGAATGTTCTTTAGTATGGCATTTAATTTAACTATCTCCATGGAGTCAAGCCAGCCACATCACCAGACCAAGTTGCAGGTCAGATCTGTGGAGAGGTGGGCCCACTAACAGTTATAATGCATGTTTTTACTGTAGTTTTGAGAAATAAAACCCTTCTGTAACTGAATAAATACAAAATATATTTGTTTATGCTATACTATGGAACACTAAAAAAGTTACACAGTGAACACTGAAGTTTAAAAGGTGCAGTATGTAAGGTCTCTTGTGAGTGATCCACCACCTGCTTCTCTCCATAGAGATGTTATTGCTTTGTCTATAATGTCCCACACTATAGCCAGTTTTATAGCTCAAAAACACCTGGTAGGGATGTAACAATATTAGATTTTAGAGTAACAATTATTGTGTGAAGAAACAAAGATTTTACGATGACGTTTACGGGTCCCAACAACAGTGAAGTCCTTAATTTACTTGCGTTCACATTGTCAGATAAGTTCAGCATCCCACTAGTTTCTGACCAGTGCAACTTTCTCAATGATAAATTAAAGTCACATAAACAACCATATTTTGCTTTTGTTTTTATGTTGAATAGAATGATTCTTTGCATATTAACAATGGGACCTAAAAGACACTCTTGTGATAACTAAACATTCAAAATAATTTATTTGCTCACTAAAATTTAAGAACATGCTTATCTTACTACACAATGAATGTTAAGTTACAAAGCGACAGAATACAAAAATTTCATACAAAGGAAAAAAAAAGTGATATTCAAGTTGTTTTTGGATGTTAAATCAAAATAAAAAAAGACAAAATACAAGAGAAGAGACAAAGAGTTTTCCCCTTTTGTTGCACGCTCCTTCTTCTATTCTTTCTGATTGTTCCTGTCTGTCTCTTGTCTCTATGTCAAATTCAATGTTGCTCGGATCAGAGGAGCAGCAGGAGATGCTTAAATGTGTATATGCGTGTTTGTCTCACGGACACAAAGCTCATCAACTTTTCATTCCGACATGTGTTCCACCACTATTCTACTGCAGAAGAACACTGCCAAGCTATACAGGCGGAAAGGAACTATATAGACAACACACTGATTCCATTTTTGAGGAAGGAGCCAGCAGATGTGGGGCAATGGGCGTTTGATTAATGTTTTATACTTCAGCTCTTCTTTAATGATTAATACTTTTACTCATAACTATTCTCAATGATAGTTTGTGACACAGAGACATAGACTATAGATAAACTTGCAATTTGCTATGCCATGTCCACGAGAAAGACTTCAGATTTGGAACCGAATTATGTCTCATCACATTGGAATGTCATTAGCTTCAAAACACCTGCCTTAAAGCAGACTTATTATGCAAAATGTTTTCAGATCTTTTAACCACGTTATAGCTGGTTTTCCTTCTCATTTGCCCCCTCGAAGTTGAATTTGGAGTGATTCATATTTGAGCAATCATCACTTGTCAAGACGCCATATTACCTATCAGGCCCTGTTTTCACAGCCACAGGCATACACCCACTGCTCTGTATTTTTCTTAATCTGTAATTCGTTCTTCAGTTTTATCTTCTTAAACCATAGGATTCAGCAGCATCGCATATCGTGGCTCGCTAGCATGATCAGCAGCTATCCACAGGAGGGGCTGACAACTTCCCAGCTCTTTGTTGTGATGATGTTTACTTATTTCCTTTAGATCAATTATTATTATTTCCTTTAGATCAATAGTGTGATTTAAAATGTGCACAATGATCCACAGGTGTCGTAGACAATAACTATCTAACAGGCCAAAGCACAAAATGTATTTAAGTGAATTATGGGTTCTGTCCATATCTAAAATGATTCCTACTGATATATTGATATTAGAAAACAATCAAAATAGGTCCTTCACGTTGGCCTAAAATCATTGCGAGAGCTTACTGGGCATTAGCTGTGCTCGTTTCTAAAAATAAAACCTTCTTTGGGATTTAATCGCTATATAAGTGTCTACTAACCCATCTCCAATTGCTAGTTTATATGTAAATGACTTGGGTAATAGTATGTACCAGTACGAGTAGTACTAAATAGTCATGATTCTCCTTTTGGATCTTTTTACTAAACCTGTTTGTCTCCATGGAAATATTTCTTTGGCTATAATATTCCACAGTATGGCATAAAATGTATATATTTCCATGGAGAATGTATAGTTTTAACTTTCTATTTCCATGGAACCATGTAGGTGATGTGCCACCTCCAGAACACAGTGTTGCTTTGATCGTTTATCATTGTCGTCTAACGTACACTATCCAATAATCGATCTTGTATTTATTTTAAGTTATTTAAAGGGCTTATATTACTCTATTTTCTGATCCATGTTGCATAGCCGCAGTTGTGTTTTGTTTCATTCACACATGTTTAACACACAATATTTATGTATGTATGTATGTAGGCTGTGTTCTTCTCTCATACAGAAAACACTCTGTTCTACATTGTGATGTCATGTGGTAACATAGGAAATGCTCCACTGTGATACTTTCATTCCTAGAATTGCCAATCAATACTGAAATAAATGTAAAAGGTGGTTGTTAACTTAAAAACCACTATTACACTGCTACACGATTACATTATATAATATATATATATATATATATATATATATATATATATATATATATATATATATATATATATATATATATATATATATATATATATATATGGTTTAAAGCTCTCAAGGGTCAATTTTACATAATATAGTAAACAAGAAGTAAACAAAACAATCAAGAGCCAACACTTCTGAAAATTACCCAAAATGAATCGATTCCCCCTGGTTAAATTGAAGTAAGTCTTACCCCATAGGACGCAGCATTGTGCAGTGGGATGAGACCTCCTTTGTCCTGGGCATTCACATCCGCTCCATGCTCCAACAAATATTCCGCCACCTCGAGGTTGTTATATCCGGCTGGAGCAGCAGGGAGGTAGTACATGCAGACAAGAGATGAAAACAAGAAGACAAGAAAGCAGAGGTAGAATTAGACGGCGAAAATAAAATAAAAAAAGAGGACGTGTCAGCCTATATCCGCATGACAGCCTGTAATCATTTTCCCTTTTACAGATTTCTGCGGAGGGAGTGTGGGAGTCTAAGTGGTTCAATAGGGGAAAAAAATATCGCAATGATGTTCAAAGTGCTTTTCTAAAACTATCTTATTTTAAAAAGTGCTAGATGGCATAAATTATTTTCCAATTAAGGTTGAGTTTGTCATTGCAAGCACTGTTTCTGGACATGAGGTTTTATGCAATTATGGAAAATGGCAAACATGTTGGCAAGGGATTTTAATTCAATTAGTAAAATTGGCGAGTCATGGCAAAATTTGAAAGATACATTTTTTAAAACAGAGAGGTCCAGAGAGGTTTCTTTAATTGGGTAATTGTCAGCATGTAGTTTGGAGAGGTAGGTAGTGGAGAGGAGTCGTGTTATGCAAAGCCACAAATTGGACCAGTGAGTGTACTAGTTAACAACAAGATATTTTAGTAGTATTAAAGAAGTTTATTATGCAATACAGCTGAATGATTTGGGAAAAATATCTAATTGCCATTTTTCTGACAATAAGTGTAATAGGATTTGGTTCAAATATCGAAGCCAAGAGAATTTAGCCTGGTTCATCAGCCAGGTTTACTTCATTTTGCTTCACTTTGTACAAACTGTCTGACCTCGCAGCCTTAGATTTCGTTTGCTCGACGGTAGGCAGGTACTTTTTATCATTTAACCAATCACTGCTATTTGGTCGTGGCATATGTAATGCGCCGCTAACGGGGCTAACTGGTAAATTAAGCTTTTCCCAAACCCCGTAGGAAGAATAACGTCTTTCCCCTTGATGAAATACACCAAATATTCTCTTTATTCCGGCTTTAAATCCTCGATCTTGGGAATCATTGAAAACACTGAAAATATCTCTCTTCGCTGATTGGCTGGTGCCCGAACTTGCACTTCTGGGGTTTTTGCGAATCATCTATTGTATTTTGATTCCTGACCTAGCTGCTGGAGAGAAATAAAACTGAACGGAGGCACTAGGTGGCGCCAGCCTGGCTAAGGAGAACTGACCAAAACAGACTAATTCAAGAATCACATTTCAGAACATATACAGATCTAAACTACAGAGTTAGCAGTTTTTAATGCAGAAAAAAAATTATATTTTGTTGTTTGTGGAGAAAATTATGGTGCTTTAAATATTGCAGTCTTTGGGATTTATTAATTGCATCCATCCAAATTTTGTTTTTGATACAAATGCAATTAATCTTGCAGCCCTATTACACAAATTAATGTAAGCAGTATGAAACCAAACAGACAATGTAACGTAGTCATTTGAAAACAAAACATGCAATATCATCTACTTTGAATGCTGCAATATTGACTGCCTATAAGACAGTTAATTGTTATTTAAGTGTCTACTAAACAAATTTATTTAGATTCACTGCCCTGACTCAACAATTATTTTGATGAACCGCCACGGATTTCCAGCTGACAAGGCTTTAATTATAGTTTTTAAATGTAAAATATATTGGGGAAATAGAGGCCATTTGAAGCAGATTTAAATAGACAGTTAGTGCGTAAATTAGGTTCATTAAATGTCGAAAGCATAAAATTACTTCTATAAGGCTCATCGGCACATTTTTCCCCATCTCTGTGGCATTTGTAGTGAGAACAGACAGCAATGAGAATAGACTAATGAATATATGTATTTTTATTGTTATTATTAGTCTTAAAATGTGACAGAACTGGTTTGTTTTAAACCATTTGCAGTGGTTCAAAGTTACTCCTCATTTACCTTTTGCATTCCAAACATCCTAATTAACATCCTAAGGGTGTAACGATATCCAAGTCTCATGATACGATATTGTCATGGTATGAACCTCACGGTACGATATTTATTGCGATATTGTGGGAAAGCTTATGATATGGTGGTAAGGCTCATGATTAGGGATGTAACGATATCCAAATCTCTCTGTACGATATTTTCACGATATACATCTCATGGTACGATATTTATTGTGATATTTTGTGGAGACTAACAAAACTGTTAATATGCTCATTTTTCTTCTTAAAATGAATTGACAATACTAAGACTCAAAAGTGCTTAGAACTCTTATTTCTTCTTATAGTCTGCACTGAAAAGGATCATGGTCTATGTAGTTCCCTCTGTCTTTTTTAGTTATTGCTGCACCATAACTCTTAATTTAAGCAAAGACACTTGTAATTCGATATATTGTGATGGCACATGATGTTATTGTGAGAACTTTGACGGTACAATATCACGGTTATTGTTACATGTCGCACAATAAAAATGCTTTATATTAGATGCAGCCAGTATTTGCTTGATGATGATGATCCAACCACAGTTGCTAATTTGTAGCTGGTGTCTCTCAAATATGGAAGACATCTCCTCCAAAATTCTCCTAACATTCAGAATTGGTTGGTTGATTGGTTAATCCGGCTGTCCATCACGCTCTCTGAAATCAGGGAGACAGCTCCAGATCTATTCGTCTTTGGAAAGTTTTGTCGAAGCATGTGGCTCTGGCTGGCCAGGTAAGGACAGTACACAGGAGTCTCATTTTGACCTCAAAAGCTGCTTATGCAATGTATCTGTACTGGGGCAAGACTAATTTTGCTCAACTACATGAAAAAAAAAACAAAATGGGTATGTCCTCTGTGTATGAATTTAGTTTCCGTTCCAGCCCGTGGTTTCACTTACACAGCCTTGAGGTGTATGTTGTTAAAGATTGTCATCAAGCACAACAGCTTTTGAATCTTATTACCTTAGTGCTGCGAGGTGCACGAGAGCTGTATCTGTACTTGTCTCTACCGCTGATGTTATCATGATTAAACATACTGAGTATACAGAGCTTAGTGCTGTTCTGTTATCCTCTTTTATTATCTGCACTTTTAAGTTTGTGCCTGAGGAAGTCCAAGAAGCCAAGGTCAAGTTAGTGTTAGCTAGTTACTGACACAGCCCTTCTAAGCCAAAAGAGCAGACATTTTGTAAGCAATGAGAACGATCTAATAAGCTGAGTTGAAAAGGCTGTGACAGGTTTCTTATATAGTTGCATGTGACAAAAAAATCGCATAATGTAGTGTGACTATACTCTTATTTTTAGTTTTGCAACCTAAGCAGAAAAAGTGTTGTCTGTGCCTTTTTAGTTTTACTGGCACTGACACGAAGGAGCTTGATTTATGTCTAATAAATACATTGTCTTTTGTTGCAAGTTTTATGCTCCAGTAATAGCCTATTCTTCAAATAAACTTTTTTTCAGAGTAGCACATTGATCCACTCCAACTGCATTATTGTGACGCAGACACAGATCACAAACTGCTGTAATTATTTCCCATTTGGTTGCAAAAGAAAATTGAATTCTATCAAGAAGACGATGTTTTGAAGAGTGAATAATACTTGGTAAATCATTTTTTAACAACACAGAAGTGCCAACTTTGGTGAAACCGTTCCAAATGTAAGAAAAACAACTTTACTAAACTATATCCGGAGTTGGGGGGGTAGGGAACAGACCTCTTTAATGTCTGTAATTTTTATCATGAAATAATTGTGCTATAGAGATTGCATTGTTTTATGCTATTTCTGTATTCTACGCTTTGTGTGTTTCAGGGACTGCAGAAAGAAATTAGCTCCAAGAGTTATAGTCTTGTACAAAGCATCTCTTCATGATTTAATGTTCCTGTAAATGGTCCCTGTTAAAAAAAAAAAAAAAAAAAACTGAACATGTTTTGCCCCTCATCCAAGTAGCCTCCTCAGTTCTGACAGGATTCTGGTGAGTCACTACCTTATATCTGTCTGAAGGTAGTTGCTAATTACAATGGAACTAAGACACCCTATTTGTCTATAGTAAGGAGTACCTGTAATTAGTCCAGTCTAAATAAACAACCCTCCCCTTTATATCGTACCTGCCAGATGTAGTGGAGTGGAGTTGCGTCCCTGTGTGTCCCTGCAGTTAATGTTATCTGGACTGCATAACTTCTGCACTCGGGCCAGGCAGCCTTTCTTTGCAGCGTCCAGCAGGGCGGCGTCACCTCTCAACAGGTCCTGGATGTCTGTGTCCCCGTCTTTTACCAGATCTAAAGGTGTGTTTCCATCACGGTTCTTCTTGGTTGGGTCTGCTCCATGCTGAAACAAGCCAAATTGCCAAATTGTTCAGGTAACCACTGGGAATAATTAGGCTTGATACAATCATACATTAAATCACAGTAAACCTTTCTTAAGGTGCACAATATTGTAAAAAAAAAAAAAAAAAAAAAAGGTGGCCATTGATAGCATTTTAGTAGTTAGTACAAGTATCTATAATGTGTCATAGATGTCCGTGCATGCAATAATGAGTCACAAAAAAAAGTTTCTTGCATATATTGACAGATAAGTCAATACAGTAATTACTAACTGGTAGGGGTGTAACGATATCCAAGTCTCACGATACGATATCGTCACAGTATGAACCGCACAGTACGATATTTATTGCGATATCTTGGGAAAGCTTACGGTATGGTGGAGAGGCTCATGATTAGGGATGTAACAATATCCAAATCTCTCTGTACGATATTTTCACGATATACATCTCACAGTATGATATTTATTGTGATATTTTGTGAAGGTTAACAAAACTGTTAATATGCTACTTTTTCCTCTTACAACACCTTGACAAGACTTAATCCAAAGAACTAAGAATCAAAAGTGCTTAGAACTGTTATTTCTTCTTGTAATCTGCACTGAAATGGAGCAAAGGATCTATGTAGTCCCCTCTGTCTTTTTTTTAGCTATTGATTAAGCAAAGAGACTTGTGATTCAATATATTGTGATGGTCCACGATATTATTGTGAGAACTCTGACGATACGGTATCACGATATTTCAGTTATTGTCACATCCCAATTATATGGCCTAGGTATTATGAAATAAATCTGACTATTAAGATTCTATCTTAAATATATTAAGATAGTAAAATAAGACATCATTATGTAATTTGTTTGACATTACAACAAACAAGTCTGTCACCCTTTGCTGGCACCACTGAGAAGTATTTTGATAGAACAAACTGCCAGCAATGCCAGCCAGCAAGATAGATAGAACAAGTTAATAAACAATGCTGGCATAAAGGTGTATGAACCTTTTTCTATTGTACATGCAAATCAGTGATTGAAAAATGCTTTGACTCATGTATACTTAAGCTATCCCCTTACAAAAACTGGTCAATATTTGTCCATGTATCAAACAGCGGCAGTGAAATATGTGAGGTAGTTTACTTGTTGATTCATGCAAATTACCCAAGCGTTTTGACTCAACAGGGATCTGAATATACCACATCTTTTATACAGCACTGGGCATATGGCATTTAATCTGAACTGCTTTATTTTTGCAGTAAGGACAAAGTACACTGCACCTGCTGTTATCCTAGTTGTTTATATACTGTAGAGTGTCAAACACAAATGCCTAAGTAAGTCCAACCTGCTTTGTGACAAGTGCAGAATACATTGTCCTAAGTGAGTCATGTATTATTTACAGGTTCTCTTCTTGGAATTTGACTTGGTTTCCACAAACAGCACATATACTCAAAATTCACTGCAAGTTTGGTTTAGCTGGTGGACAGAGGTGCATTTCGTTATGATAAATGAAAGGTGGGGTTTAAGGCAGAAATGACACAAGCATTTACGAACAAATATTCCCAAATGTGAAAGTGACATGTGGACGTGACATTCCATTATAGTAGTGTCCTGTGCAATTATTCAAATGCTTAAACAACATAAAAAATCTGTAATTTTTAATTGCTAATGATCATCTTGAATCATTTACTTTGGAGAAATAAATTTGACTAAATATGTTTTAGTCAATAATTAAATGGATGTATTGTTTATGTTCAAGAAATCATACTGAAAGCTGTTCTGAGTTTTTGACAATATAAAATTGAAACAGTGATCGATCAATGAGGAAAAACAAATGTGATCATTTTGTTTTCAAATATATCACCAGGAGCAATAAATTGTAAATTGCCTGGCAAATCCAGAATAATTTCTCTGTATTTTTATACAAATGGATATCAGTCTGATCCTCATGCTCTCCTTCACGTCTCAAGCCTGACCAAACATGATTGTGCAATCAGATTTGCTGTTCTCAGTGAAGCAAATGAAGGAGCTCATTGATCACATATCACTTACAAACACAATGGACTTTCTCTCTTCCTCAGATTAAGTGTTTAGTGCTTTGCTCTTAGATTCTGCAGAAATCCACAATGTTTTTCTGTCCCTTGTGATATTTTTATTTTGCCTCGTAAGCAGCCATAGTTGTTTTGGTACAGGCATACCATGTGTGTCCATGATTGACTAATACACCTTTCAATCACGGCCAGATTCACCAGTGACCAGACTCATATCTCTGTAAAGTATTGAAAAAGTGTGTATTCTGGATCTCAGGTGAGGTTGTAATGTAAAAACAGTGATCGTTCCCAATTGCCAAATATAAACTTTTTTTTATGTTTTCGTTGTCGTTTCCCCTCAAGATGTGTAGACAATACAACCCTTTCAAATTCACAATAGAGTGGGTATATTAATATCTTACTTATTACATTTTACAAAGATTTCTTTTAAAAACACTCTACTCTGTTACACCCCTCTTTGGTTAATGTTATTACTTGCTAATTGTGAGAAATGTTTTTCCAGTGTTGCCTTTAGCCAACCACATCTAACAGAACAAAAAAATCCACTTGAGTTCATTTACAAGCCAGTGCTTAACTCAATTTTCACGTTTACTTTCTGCATATTTAGTTCAAAAATGTTTTCTCTGGAGCCCGGAATTTTACCTCCTTTCTCTGCAAAAAAACATATCTAAAAGCAAAACTGAAAGGCTTAGGCATCTCTTCTTCTTGACAACACAGTGGTAGTACAAAAGATCCTCTAGCAGTGACTTGAATTTAAACTATCCTTACTAAAAGTGCCTCTTTTTCTCTCCGAGTGTTTGAGCGTGTTTTGCACTCGGTGATGACAAGTGACAAGTGCGAGGAGGATGAAGGTAATTCACAGGGGAGAGGGAGACGAGGCAGGCATGAAGAAGAGGAGCTGGAGAGGTGAGGACAGGACAGTAAGCCTAGTGGAAAACATCATGCCCCCTAGAGATGCAAGGGGTGAATAGACATGGTCACAGGTGGACAGTATTTGTACAATGTTGAAAATGAACTTAAAACCAGCAACTGTATCTCAACTGTAACTTTATAATCAAGGATGGTACAAAAATGTCTATAAGGACTTCAGAAGCTTTACATTTTATTCTTATTTTACTATATTGAAGATCAGATGTGGGGTATATATATCGAAATACCAATATATCAAATTATCAGTACCAATGTGAAAGTTGTTTCCATACACAAAATTATCTAAGTAATATTAAAAAAAAATCTGAATGCTTCTCAAAAAGGATATAAAGTGATATTTCTGCACTTTTGTGAGTAAACTGACGTGTTTTAATAAATTTATCTTCATTACTCCATAAAATTGGAGAGTTTCTTTGCCATGAGCAGCATGCTGTGTAAAAAAAAGCCTTTATACGAAAGTAATCTGCAGACTAGGAAGAACAGTAGTGTTACATTGGTAAAGAAAGAAATGATTAGAGTAGACAATAGACAATCATGTTAAAAATTGAAAAAGGAAATGGTGATCTTGTTAATGGCATTCACACTATGCCAGAAATGCATCACCTACTCTCCATTTGAACAACTGATAACAACAACCCAGACTTACGAACATGTAATTTGCTTCAGACTATATAGAGAGTCTATTTTCATGCATTGATTTGAACAACAGGGAAGCTGTTAGGCAATCATACACGTAACAAATGAGTCACAAACCTAATCTAAACCAGACGTCTTACCTACAAAAAGTTAGCTAAATGTTAGCTGATAACAGTAGTAATTTGTTTTCTACATCAGAAATATGTGGCCATTGTGTAGGAATGCAATGAGAAAAGTTCATTCTTAATTAAATGAGTCATGGGGACAGCAATTACATTACAATACAGGTCTGAATGGGTCTTTTATTTAGAAAACTTCCATAAAGAGTTACTGGCTCTACCTAGCATGTTCCACAGTATTGCATTAAAATAATTATCTCCATGGAGACAAGCAGGTGACGTGAGCCCACTCCTAAGAATGCACGCTTTTCAAAGGTAGCAACATGTGCAATTGAATATTAAAAGATAGACAGGTTTACCACCAGAAAAGTTGCACAGTGCATCTTTAAGGTCCAGTCCTATTCATCAAGTTAAAATGCAAGCTTTGGAGTATGGTAAAAATACACTGTAACTTCAGTGCAGTATCTTGGGAACTTTTTCATACCTGAAGTTCTCGCTCCATGCTAAGTGCTAACAAGACACTTTCTCCATTAATTGAGTAGAACATAATTATGCTGTGGCACTTCGTGCTCCGACAAAGACTTATTCTGTGTTTTGTGCATCTGAAAGAGGAAGTTGGAGAATGTCACAGCGGTGGCAGTGACACATTATTCTGAGTACAAACCCAACACAAAAGAGAGACTCTGTAAAAAGGCTTATGTAGAGAGAAACAGATGAACTCTGGGAGAGTTTATCAGGAAAGAAGGAATAGACTCGAGGCCAAGGTTGAACATAATCTTTACACGCTAAGCTCAGCCATTTTACAGCATAATCATCAATATAAAATAATAACAGTGCAGTAGCTTCTCCATAAAGTAGACTACTAATTTCTGTAATATATAAATTAAATTGCAACAAAATGATATAGTAATTATATAACTGTGATCAGCAGATACAAGTTAGTGGGGCAGAGTTTGGTTCAAAATTATAACTGAAGTCGTGCAATCATCAATATAACAAAATATTTGATCTCTTTATTATATCAAGTGTGAAAAGCCTGTTCAGATTTCAAATTAGTGTTGTGACAATGTTTTGCTGGGTTTCAGATAACATCACAACATTCTATAGGACAATTTTAATGAATACAGATGGGGGACAGCAAAAATGAATATTGATGAAATCCAGATTTTTGTTGTTACACAGTGAGTTATGGAGTCTATGCACTAATATAAATGATCAGGTTTAACATTTGTGAATTGACCGTCTGGATATTTCATCGCAACTTGCAATGTTAATAATAGCA